CTTAAATGATTTTAGCAAATGGCTGCAATATAACAAAGAGTGAAAAATTTAAGGGGGTCTGAAAACTTTCCGTACCCACTGTATATGGTTAAACTAGTACATATCTCCTTTCTATTTCATAGTTGTGATGACTTGTGCGTTAATGAGTGTGTATATAGATTTATATATAGACATAAATTAAATTATCATTAGATTTATTATTTTCAATCAGAATTGTTATTAGATAATTCAATTAATCATTGAATTAGATACTATACATTTATATATATGATATACCTGTATAGGTGTATATACTAGGGGTTAAACGACTTCTGATTTTTTGAAGTCGACTTTTATGTGATGAAAGTCGAGTCGAAGTCGACTAGTCGCTGGTTAATGAACAAATAAGTCTGGAGCTGTGACAAACACCTGGTGCGCAGCTATGGCATATGACACAGCGCTGCCCACACGGCTATTGCTCCTATAACAGCTTTTTTTTATCAGTTCTTTTGTATTTGGGTCGTTATATTTCTCACATATTTCTGCTCGTTCTAAATCAGATACAGATAAAGTAGCACAGTAAAGATTACATTAATATGAATGCATTAGTGAGAGCGATTGCGTGTTTGAATTAATTCTACCTGGCAGCGTCTCTCTACTAGTAGTGAAGCTGTGGAATTTAGTTAAGAAATATATGCTTGAACTTTTCAGTTTCTAAGCTATTTTATTGAGAAATCACAGAACAGTGTTGACGATACATTTCCGCATGATTCTGTGCGTGTGATGTACGCTCTACTGTCTGAAGCCTATGTGTGTGCGTTACAGTGCAGCAGCGCATTAGATTAGAACGCCGATTAACTTACCTGTACAGTAAGCTGTTTAAAACGTGCATTCTCCTGTTCAGTTTCGAGCATCCAGTAATATAATCACACATGTCTTGTGGAGCGCTTTCTGAATATGCATTTATTTGTCATTTGAACTGTTTGGAAACAGAGCGTAAATGTGGAAGTCCTTCAAAGATTTCTTATCCTGTTGCGCCCTCTATAGGACCAGCGACTAGTCGACATCAAGCTTAAAGCGTCATGGCAGAGCATTGAAGTCAATTAGTCGGTGCAACTCCTAGTATATACAGATATAGAAATAGATATATTCATAAAATAATTTATCTAATTTAATTTAATTTTTTAACATTTGTAATATTTATAATTATATGTTGAAAAGTAGTAGTTGATCAGAATGGAATTTACATACTTCCATTTGTACTATTTTATTGCAATATAGATATATTAGAATTGCTGTCATAAAATGGAAATGTATGCAAATTAACAAAGTGGCACTCAATTTTGCTTTCTCTTTGTCTTTTTGATGTAACAGGAACCTCAGCAAACCCATCGCGGTGCAGTCTAAAGAGAAGGAAGACCGTTATGTGGACAATTACAGGGTACTGCAGCACTGCAGGCTCTAATTCCTGTTTACACCAGCGCCTGTTAACCAATCACACTGTGGCTCTGTTCCAAAACCTGCTGAGCTGCCTACGTAGGCAGCATTTTTAGACATCATAGGCACATTTCCAGCATAAAGGCTGTTCCAAACAGTAGGTGGCAACACTATGTTGCCTTCTAAAATATTTTCTTCTGGCCAAACTCTGAAGTAGCTTCACAAGTGTCCTTTGCAGAAAAGGCAATCACAGAAATTCATTCCTACAACCACATTATTATAAATAATAATATATATTATAATTTATAATATATATAATATTATTTAATTATGATGTACGTGTTATTATTTATTATGATTTATAATATATTATTTATAATATTAATAAATAAATTATTAAATATGAGTTTTACAATTTTTATGCTTGTGGGAGTATCATTTATTTTTCTGTATTATAATCAGTTGTGAATCAAGTGTCCCATGCGTTTATAAGACACCATTTCAGTTAGTATTAGGGATGCACCGATATCATTTTTTTCAGATCCGATATCGAAAATTCTGAGTATCAGCCGATTCCGATCCGATACCAGTGCCGTTTTTTTTTTTTTAATCAATGTTGATTTTCTATACTTCTGTGTGTTGACCTGATCATCACTGTTTTGTGTGTTAAACACACTAAATATAGACAACTTCATTTGAAAGAAATATGTAATCATAATCTGTGACAAAAATGATATTATAAACTAGGTTAGTGGATTATTCAGCAGCAAAAGATATTCTAGAAAAACCATTAGTGCACAATAATTTTATAAAATCTAAACATTTAGTGAAATAACATTATTTATAAAAGTGAATAAGTGTAGGACTAAATCTTGTAAAATGTTACACATTGCTCTTTGTATTGTTGTAAAATTCATTCATTAAAAACAGGTTAATATATTTATATATAAATATATACTATAAAATTAAAAGACATTTCTTTTAAATGTATAGCACCGTAATGGAGGCAGCAACATATGATAGATAAGACAGAACGAGAAAGGCTATTAATAATCTTTCATTGCGCAAAAGTATTATAATACGAAAGGCTCAATACAGAGCAGCTCAACACATGTATAACACTCTTTGATTATTGGTATTCATAATGCATTGCATTACTGCTTTATGAGCTTCCATGTTTAATGTCATTAGGTGTGTGTAAGTGTAAGTAACATTGATTTTCTCCACAGTACCTGGAGGAGGAGTATAAGAAAGGCAAGAGAGAGGACGACCCCATGCCCCCCGTCCAGCCCTATCACTACGGCTCTCACTACTCCAACAGCGGCACCGTCCTGCACTTCCTCGTCCGGCTGCCTCCCTTCACCAAGATGTTTCTGGCCTATCAAGGTCAGTTTGAATTTGAAAAAAAGCTTTCAAGATTGTTCAGCCTTTAGGACCAAATTCATTCCAAGCAGATTCAAACAAAAGAAATTATTTCTAACCCTATAAAGCCTGCAGTGTCACATTTGATACACACATTTTAAGACCTATAAATGATACACACATTCAAACTTTGCTGTTAATCCTGTCACACTCAATCTACTCCATGCCTTCTGTCATCTGATTGATAGTTTAGAGTTTTTTTTTTGATCAAGTCAGAGCTCTTTTATTGTGATTGTACAAACGTCCAGCTCATGCTTCACGTGTCTTTCTGCTGTCAAATCTGCACTGATTTTTATCAAGTAAACGTAAGAATAACTAGTAATATTTCAAGATAAACACTTACTGGACTGAAGCAACTTAGCTTTACTTGATTATACATATATAATTTTTTTTTTTTTTTTAGAAAAATCATGCTGAATTGTGATTATCAAATGTGAGCGTCAAATATGATCATCAGGCATTTGAAGAACATTTATTTGTTCATCTCTCAATCATCATTGGATTGCATTGTATTATATATTTGGATCATTTAAATATCATCTTACTAAGACATATTATTGGAGATACAGAGTGACCACTGATATTTAGATCATTTTATGCAAGGATCTGCTATAAAGATCTCATAACAAGATTACCATTACAAGTTTCAGAATTTCATCACTTTTTGTTCATATAAATATCAGCATCTGCACCAGATTGCACATTTTTGTTCAGTTTGAGCCCCTGCAGTTTTTTCTTCTTCTTCATATTCTCACTATATCATACTATATAAGCCATAAAAGATCAAATATGATGCTCCACAATAACAAATATGCAACTTTTTAGATTTGAATTGTATTTTGTCGATAAAATGTCCATTTAAAAAAAATGCAGACTAGTATTTCTTATGTCAGGGTTTACAGGGTTAATAAATAGCAATATTGATATTTTTGATTATTTTGGTGCCTTATTACATACTTTTATCATTTTAAATGTATCTTAATTAGTTTGCAAAACCAAGAAAACAGACGCTCTGCAACATGAAATCAAATATTTAAAATCGAATGCAGCCACGCCTTAATAAAGACTGAATGCATGTGTTGTCTGTTCATAACTCTGTATGACAGGCTTACACAGCTGCAGCTCATTGAGTTTATTCAGCATCATAATTAGGATTCTGCATCGCTACTTTAATATTTAACAGCACCTGTGTTTCCTGCGTGTGCAGCGAGGTCTTCAAACATGTCAGTGTGATGCTTTTAAAGGCTGTCATTGAAAAGAGCCTTTCTGAAGTCTCACGCTACATGCATTAGCCTCAGAAAGATGATCAGGCCTTTCATCCAGCCTCTTTATTCATCTTTCCTTCTTTCTCAGTCTATTTTTAGTTCGGTTGGTTTATCCATATCAGGTTACACAAGAAACTAATGAAAGGTTTTGTGTGTCTCGCAGACCAAAGCTTTGATATTCCTGACCGAACGTTCCACTCCATGAACACCACGTGGCGTCTGTCATCATACGAGTCCATGACGGATGTCAAAGAGCTCATCCCAGAGTTCTTCTACCTGCCCGAGTTTCTGGTCAACAGAGAAGGTGGCGCTCTTGTACTACTGGTTTTCTTGACCTCTTCTTCTAGCATCCAACCTTTCATGATTCCAAATTCCAATTAATTTTTTTCTGGGCTCTGTTTTAATGGTTAAATTAAATTTGAATGATCAAAAAGCATGCCTATTTAGTTAAAATCTCGAATCTTACACAGTTTAACAATTTATTAAAGGTTTAACAATAATGTATGCTCATAAAGGCTGCATTTATTTGATCAAAAATACAGGATAAACAGTAATATTGTGAAATATTTTCTATGTGAATATATGTTAAAATGTAATTTATTTTTGTGATCAAAGCTGAATTTTCAGCATCATTACTCCAGTCTACAGTGTCACATGATCTTCAGAAATCATTCTAATATGCTGATTTGCTGCTCAATAAACATTTCTGATTATTATCAATGTTGAATAGTTCTGTGGAAACTGTGATACATTTGATTTTTCAGGATTCACAGATGAATAGAAAGTTCAAAAGAACAGCATTTATTTGAAATGGAAATCTTTTGTATCATTATAAATGTCTTTACTGTCACTTTTGATCAATTTAATGCATCCTTGCTGAATGAAAATATTAATTTCTTTTTACAAAAATCAATCTTACTGAGCCCAAACCTTTGAATGGTAGTGTATATTTCATAGTGAATTGGTAGTGTGTGTATATATATATATATATATATATATGTGTGTGTGTGTGTGTGTGTGTGTGTGCGTGTATAGTGTTACTATATGTCGGCCAGAAATCTCTCTAATACAAAAAAGTACATTGATAAACCATAATGGACACATCCTTTAGCTTTAGCCTGTCAATTAGTATCCATCTGATTTTTCCTCTCGCTCCTTTTTAGACTTATTTTGGCATGGATGTATCTGCTGTTGAAGACCCCGTGCAGCGTCGGGCTCTAGAAACTATGATCAAGACGTACGGCCAAACACCCAGACAGCTGTTCAACGCCTCGCACATCAGCCGAGCCGGAACCAAACTCCTATCAGAGGCAGAACTGCCTGCAGCCATGGGCCTCCTGGTACAGCTGGCCTTCAGAGAGAGCCGCGAGCACCCCAAAGAAACCGTCTACCCGGTACAGCAAACATACAGCGCTGAAATTATTATTCAGATTGACATTAAAGGGATAGTTCACCCAAAAATGAATATTTGCTTAACATGTACTCATCCTCAGGCCATCCAAGATGTAGATGAGTTTGTCTCTTCATCAGATTTGGAGAAATGTAGCACTGCATCAGTGTCTCATCAATGGATGCTCTGCAGTGAATGGGTGCCGTCAGAATGAGAGTCCAAACAGCTGATAAAAACATCACAATAATCCACAAGTAATCCACAGCACTCCAGTCCATCAGTTAATGACTTGAGAAGACAAAAGCTGAAACAAATCCATCATTAAGACGTTTGTAACTTCAAACCATTGCTTCTGGCCAAAATAATGGAGTCCATAATCCATAATAACGCTTCCTCCAGTGAAAAAGTGGTCTGGTCTGAATCAGAAGAGAAATCTGCACAGATCAAGCACCGTTTACAAGCCAAAACAGCTCTAAACAAATATGTGGCTGGATTTTGATGTGAGAGACAACAGCAGATGAACTTTTTCACTTTTTCACATCGCTGAGCAAGTGATGGAATGCTACATTTCTCCAAATCGGGCGAAGACACAAACACTTCATTTTTGGGTGAAAATATTCCTATAAAATGCCGTTTTCTTTTTTGTTTACCTATTTGTTGTTGAAAAGGGTCAGTTCTTCTGGAAGCGAAAGATTTTATTTGAATCCTAGATCATCCCGTTGGTCTTCTGAAGTCTTCAATCCCTTTTGTGTCATTTCTAGAGTCCTCTGCCGTGGATAAAGGGCTTGAAATGGGGCGAGTATGTGGGATCCCCCAGTGCTCCGGACCCCGTGGTCTGTTTCAGTCAACCTCACGGCGAACACTTCGGCTCCCTGCTGGCGCTGCCCACGCGTGCCATCTGCGGCCTCTCGCGCAAGTTCTGCCTCATGATGATCTACAGCAAAGAGCAAGGTGAAGGAGAACACACACAAGAAACTGCTTCATCACGCATAAACATGAAATTATAAACCTGATATACCCAGTGTGGGGTCAGAAAGATGGTTTTATGAAAGAAATTAATGCTTTTATTCAGCAAGGATGCATTAAATTGATCAAAAGTGACAGTAAGGACATTTATAATGTTTCAAAAGATTTCTGTTTCTGATAAACTTATTTTCATCAAAGAATCCTAAAAAATCAAATGTATCACGGTTTCCACAAAAATATGAAGCAGCACAACTGTTTTCAACATTGGTAATAATCAGAAATGTTTCTTGATCAAATCAGTATATTATACTGATTTCTGAAGGATCATGTGACACTGAAGACTGTAGTAATGATGCTGAAAATATAATAATAATATAAAATTTTTTTTACTGTTTTCACTGTATTTTTGATCAAATAAATACAGCCTTGGTAACTTCTTTCAAAAACATTGAAAAAATCTTCCTGACCCCAAAATTTTGAACAGTAGTGTTTATGAATTTCAGATGTGCTCCAGATGTATTTAGTGAATTTTCATTTATTTAGCTACAATTATACAATTATTAGCAGATGTTTTTATTCAGTCAAACAGATGTTAATACCAGGTGTAAAAAAACAAAAGAGAACCAAGATTTTTCTGTTTTAAAGGGAAAAGCAGCATCCAATGGCCATTATCTGAAAATGAAAATATTAAATGATTAATCTGAACTGCTAATATATCAGCCAGTTACTAATCTTGGCTGTGTTTTGGTCCATGAACAGTTTCTAGTGCTTTTATTGCATCTGCATTTGTGTCTTAACACAATTATCCGCATGAATGAACGCAGTTCTCATAATACCAGAGGAAATGAGAATGAAGTGAATGTGCTGTCGTTGAAAATCACCTCACAGTACAGATGAAGTGTTTTCCCCTTGTCTCTCAGGTGTAAGGAGCATGCACAGCACCGACATACAGTGGTCGGCTATTCTGAGCTGGGGTTACACCGACAACATGCTGCGTCTGAAGAGCAAACAGAGCGAGCCGCCCATCAACTTCATCCAGTGCTCACCGCTGCACCAGGTCAGAGCCAGAAATACACAGGCCACGCTTGGACAGTTTTCAGATCAATCTGTGTTTGAGACATTTCAGCTTGTACAGCATTTTGTGATGTGGCATTGCACTCTCGTCCGTTATATATAGACGTCCACAGCACCCTCTACTGAATAAGATAAATCGTATCTCACAAAAATATATCAGGTTAAATATCACCCCTAAATCAAAAGAACAAAAGACATATTTTGCATAATTGTACATTAGTTTTTAATTATGAAAATGTCATGCAAAAATCGTAATGGTTCTAAAAACGGACTCTCTCTCTCTCGCTCTCTCTCTCTATATCTCTATATACACTGCCTGGCCAAAATGTGGATTTAAATAAGCAAATACTGAGAGTCTAGGATTGGATCATTATTGCAGTGACTAATATGTTTCTGGCATGTTGTATGTTTGGCAATAATTATTTTAACCTGAACTGATGTAGAGTGTCGTTTTTAATTTCTTAAACAACCATGTAGGAAGATGTACCCATGTCCATATTCCAGGATGACAATGTCAAGATTCATTGGACCCGATTTGTGAAATTGTGGTTTAGGGAGCATGAGGAATCCTTTTCATGCATGAATTGGTCACCACAGTTTCCTGAGCTTAACCTTATTGAAGGTCTTTAGGATGTGCTGGAGTCGACTTTATAGAGTGCTTCGACTCTCCCATTGACAATACAAGATCTCAACCATAAAATTAATGCAGTTCTTCATGGAAATAAACACTGTGGTGTTGCATAACTTTGTCGAGACAATGCCACAACAAAAGCAGACAGTGTATATACACTACTGTTCAAAATTTGGGGTGGGTACGATTTGTCAGTGTTTTTGAAAGACCCTTATATTCACCAAGGCTGCATTTATTGCTGACAGTAAAAAATTGAGAAACTGAAAAAATTTTGAAAATTTTTACAATTTAAAATCATGGTTTTCTATTTGAATATCTGTTAAGATGTAATTGATTCCTCTGATCAAATCTGAGTTTTCAGCATCATTACTCCAGTCTTCAGTGTCACATGATCTTCAGAAATCTGCTCAAGAAACATTTCTGATTATTATCAATGTTATTTGAAACCGCATTTATTTGAACTAGAAATCTTTTGTGACATTATAACTGTCTTTATTGTCACTTTTGATCAATTTAATGCATCCTTACTAAATAAAACTATTAATTTTTTTTTTATTCTGATTTTGGGGTGAAATGTGAGCCAGATGTGTCTTGATGGCATGTACGTTGTCATGTCATCAGATGGTCTCGGCTTCATTTCTGGTTTGCTGCTGTGTCGTCTTCCTCTCTGTAATCTACTAATTCATTACTTCAGACTTATGTGCGTCTAGAACCTTGCGTTCTACAAGTGAACGGTGCTTTATTGTTCATCCCAAAGAAGCACAAAATCACTTTCACAGACTTTTACATTAAAGGGGTCATATTTGAGACTTTAGTCTTTGCAAATTTACAGATCTTCTTTATGCACCAAGAGCTTGTAACAGTCCAAAGAGAAAGGAAAAAATGAAATCGCATCATATGACCCCATATGAGTCCTTAAACATCTTCAAGAATTTACTAAAAACACATCTCTTCCATCTTTATTTGACCCTCTTACTCTATTTTAATTCTAATTTATCTATTTGTTGACTTGACCTTCTAACACTTGCTCTCTCTGTTCGTTTTCTAACCGCTTGTTTTCTTAGAATAGAGAAAGCTAGTGTTAGAGGCCTTTTTTATCTATTTCTTTTCTTTTGATATATATATATATATATATATATATATATAAAATAAAACCCTT